ACACTGTAGTGAACCCCTAATGACCTAAGCAGCCATCAATGATCTCAACATTTTAAAATGCACCAAGAGCAGAAAGAGAGTAATTTACCCCCTAAAGCCCTCTCAGACAGCAACACAATCAGGATCATGCTCCCCCAAACACTTGTATTTTGTGGAAATCAGCCCAGTTGCATAGATGATGTTCCCAGAAGACTGCATGAGCAAATATACATATTTTTTGTCTCAGATTTACCACGGTACTTAAATGTTTTTCAGTTTAATATTACTCAAGACTGTAACGTTTAGAAATTTATCCAGACAATGTTCCTTGTAATGCTGACAAGTCCCATATGAATTACCTTCAAGGATTTTCTTTAAAAAGTTTATTCTTGCAACCTCTTGTCTTGGACTATTACACAAAGAAATGGACTAACATTAAGGATGTGAATGCCTATCTATGTTCATTTTCCAAATATAGTTTTGTACTATTTGAAAAATGTCTGACAAATTACAAGTTAACAATTGGCTTTACACTATACGTATTTACTCATAAAGAGTATTAACAGATAACAGCAAGCAGAAAAAGAATACATTACAGGATGCAAAGAAGTGTTCTCAGTTTCATTGGTCTAACTCGACAAGTCTAACTTTGACAATCAAAACATTATTTTGAAGTCATATCCCACAAATATCTAGGACTACTGAGAACTAGTAGATAGAATTCCCAGAAAAAAAAGTGGAAATTATCCACATTTTTAACGAGGAAAAAATTAATTTTTAAACACGGTGGTTTACATGTTTCACTTCCACGAAGAGCCACTCGATCCATTTCCCAGAACATGCTTCATACTTTGGCATAAGTACAAAACTGAGCAATAAATTTGTGCAACTGCAACATTTTCCCTTCAACGTTATGAACAACTACCACAAAACATACAATCCATTCTGGTCCTTTGATCAAGTCAGGAGAGAAGATTCAGCAGCAAGTACCCATTAAAAAAGTAAAAAAAAAAAAGGATACAAAGCAGAAGGGGGAATTAAAAAAAAAAAAGTTAAGGCACATGTCAAGTCTGAAAATGAGAAACTGCCACTTTCTCTACTATTGTGCCCTACAGCAGGACTGGTAACTGTAATGGAGAAGCAGAACTCAAACTGACCTAGAAGGTCTCTGACTACATCTTTAATAGCCAGTACAGCTGTTAACAATCTTCCTGGGCACTTAACTACTTATTACTAAGTCCCACTAAAACAAAATCATGCCACACAGAATAAACCCACTTGACACTACATAAAAACTGCAAAACCTCTACTAAATGGGAATTCAGACAAATAAAATGGTAACTCAAAAAAATTCTTTCCTTCATCCTTCCTCAGCTTTCCACCTTCTCCATGAAGGGATTCAATGCATATTTAGGCTGTATATCAAACAGTGAGAAGAGCAGGGCTTTAAGAGAAGAACAGACCAGTAGACCTCTATAATTTCCTATAAATTACAATCTAAGAATCCCAATGACAGGGAATTTTCTATTTAAACTTACACAGTGTAACACAGTTTTATTACCTCTTCTTGTCCTCTTTTTATATGGAACCAACTACAGCATTTTCATACCAAAAAAGCCTGCAGTGAACTGAAGAGAAATGCTTTAATGTGCCCCACAGACAGGTATTTCATAACCTCCTAATTCATACTCTGTAGTCAATAACTGAAACATTTACTCCAACTTGACACCAATTCTAAGACTAAGATACATTAAAAACAAACGAAAAATTGACAGACCTCTAACATAAAGAGGTCATTCTATTTTTTCTATTTTCTATTTTTTTTCTATTTTCTATTTTTCTTCCTTCCCTATGACCAACAAACTAGGAATTCCATTTTGAATTAATTGTTTTAATTATGCAAGACAACTTTTCCTCTACCAGCACCATAGACAAGGATAGAAACACAGAGAGAAACAAAAAACTAAAGTAACACAAGCAAACTAGATCCATATGAGCCAATACTTCAAATGATGGTATTTTCAGAAACAGAAAAGAGAAAAAAATAAAACTAGTGCTAAAATAAAACTGACTTAACTTTAAATTCTCAAACTAGGAACCAAGAGTGAGTTTTATGTCCAGAAGAGCTGTAGTTTACCAGAGAAAACATGAGTTTTGTCTTTGTTTTCATTTGAGAGGCCACAATAAACATTTAAGAAAGACAATGTCACCAAGATATGTACCACCTTGAAAAGCTGTAAGGAATATTAGAAGGGTTCAGAGAGGAAAGACTGAATGAGTTAAAGGAGTGATATATCCACCTTAAAACACAAAAGCTTACCGTAAGAAAGTAAAAAAGGTTTCACTCATTTCCATATCTAATTTAGAAATTTAACTCCAACTGGATATAAAATACAGTTACCACAAAGATTGCGTGGGAGGACTGCAGACAAGAGGTCTCTAAAGAGTTAACAATAATTTCAAGGTAGGTAATCCTGCATTGGGCAAAAAGACAAACATATTATATGAAGAAAGAAGCAAATTTTTTCTAATAAAATTTGAAAATAAGTAACACTCATTTCACGAAAGGGATAGACTTCCCTATATCACACACAGCAGGTTTTGCAAAAGGAAAAGGTTTTCATACTGCAAAGCTGCAAAAGCAATGAGTGCTGGAAAGAAGGGAATACTGAGATCTAAACCACAGTCATTAAAAAGTCTCTGAACTACTACTGAGTTTTATTACACAAGCTTATTTCTTTAAAAGTGCACTTAAAACCCAAAGAGTTCACGCTCAGCATCACACCAGGACCTCATAACAATGCACCTGGTTATTGTTTAAATGTTTTACAACTTGTAACTTACAGATCAAGTAGCGAAAGATTACATTTCATTTCAGCATCCAAAACTCTTCCCACGTCTCTCAGAGACAGAGGAAAATATGGAAGGTCAATAGATGATCTGCCTGATAATTCTGCAACAAAACTCCTGAAAAATGCATCTTGAAAAGTTGTTGTCATAACCTCACACCTTGATTCCTATGTGGGAATGTATGCTAGACATGCAATTAATAAATACAAAATCCACTTCTCTGTTAAATAAAAAAATAAAAAAAGGAAAAAATAATTACATAAAATACACATTCCATGCCCTTCTCTAATTAGTTGAAACATTACCTGAAAAGTAAGAGGACAGAAGTGTGGTGGAATCTCCAAACATGAACCCAAAAAACCACCAAAAAGTCTCTTTTTTTCAGTGCTTAGCTATACTTAACCCCTAGAAAACACTCCTCTATTTTCCATGGTAAGAACTTTTCTCCTTGTCCAGAAGAGAACATTTTCATATTTGAAGGCCTAATCTCCCATCACTCCATTTTCCTCTCTGAATTCCAACTCCTTCAGGTGTTTTTACCTTTACTAATTCTCACTTCTCTCTGCAATTTCTCCTTTCAGCCCATAGGCATCCTAATGCACTTGCAGTGCCACCGGAGACCAAACCAAAGAGCACCCTGCCAAACAAACCCATCTCATCCACCTCCCCATCACTGCTGCTCAGTTTCTGCCCAGCATCAGCGGCCTCTAACCCCAACACACACCGGGCAACACCGGGCATTCATAGCTCCCTGCCCTCGCACAGCCTTCACTTCTTGCCCAGTTCAGGACGAACTGCCTCCCGTGGGAGGGACCCTAGGCTGGAGCAGGGGAAGGACTCCGACTCCTCTACCGGAGCAGCGCCAGGAACAACCCGGGATGGACTGACCGTAACCCCCATTCCCGTCTTCCTGCACCGCTGGGGGTGGGAGGGAGTGCTAGGAGAAAAGTGTTTTTAAGATTTGCTTTACTTTCCATTATCCTGCTCTGATTTCGACTGGTAATAAATCCAATTACTATCCCCGAGTCGTGTCTGTTCTGCACACGGCAGCAGTGGCTGAGTGACCTCCCACTGCCCTTACCAACGCATGAACCTTCTCTTATACCCTCTCTCCCCCGTCCAGATGCGGAGGCAGTAACAGCGCGGCTGCGGTGGGTGCCAGACATCCAGCCAAGGTCAATCCACCGCAACAACCCGCCCTCACTCCTCACTCCCCGCCGCAGGCACATCTGCAGCAGGGCAGCCATCACGGCGGCCTGTCACTCACCCAGCAGCTCCGGGGTGCCGTGCAGGTGCCTCCATCCCACTCGTCCGGCGACGGGGAGCCCCGCGCCCAGCGCCGCCCGCCCGGCCCGGAGCAGCCGCAGCGCCCGCTCCCCGCTCAGCCGCAGGGACGCCGCCATCTTTCCGCTCCCGCCCCGGGGCTGCCCCTCTCCCTGCCTGAGCAGAAAGAACCCGTCCCACCCGCAGCCTGCGGTGCCGCCGCCTCAGCCCTGAGAAGCAACGGCTTCACCGCCCCCGCCCGCCCCGCCCGCGGCACCAAGCGCCCCTATTGCCCCGGGCACAAGCAAACGCCAAACGCAGGGACAGCCGGGCCCCGCCCGCCCTCGCACCTCCCCCGGTCACTGCTGCCGTCCGGCCCCTCCATCCCCCCCAGTCCAGGTCGGTGCCTGCGGTCAGGGGATGTCCGGCGATCCGCAGGCGCCCCGCGGCGCCCGCAAGAGGCCCCCGAGCGAGGACCCCGCGCCATGGCCGCCGCGGCGGGAGACTCGGAGCAGGTACCGGGGCAGGGGTCCCCCTGTGGTCCGGGGAGCGACCGCGGGTGCCGGGGCTGCCCGTGGAAACACCGTAATTAGCCTGTGCCTTCGTAGTTGCTAATTGTTAGAGAGGACCTGGGAGTGTTGGTGGGTGACAAGCTGACTGTGAGCCGGCAGCGCCCCGGCGGCCAGCGGGCAATGCAGCCGGCAGGAGCTGAGCGTGCTCGGCCTCCAGTATTCGAGGAGTAATGGGCATGAAGTAAAATGCAAGAACTTCCACCTCAACATGAGGAAGAACTTCCTGACGTTGAGGGTGGCAGAGCACTGGAACAGGGAAGTCGTGGAGTCTCCCTCTCTGGACACATTCCAAAGCCACGTGGACACGTTCCTGTGTCACCTGCTCCAGGTGACTCTGCCTTGGCGGGGGGATTGGACTGGATGATCTCTAGAGACCCCTTCAAACCCTAAGAGTTCTGTGATTCTCTATCAAGATATTAGGAAATTCCCTGCAGTTCCCAAAACATTGCCAGCTGTCAGTTTGTCTGCAGCTACAGGACTTGTGGCCCTTTTTATGTTAACTGGGGTTTTTTAAGTTTGTTCTGTGATTTTTTTCTGTTTGGGTGATGTTTTTTGTTTTTGATTGGGGTTTTATACATCATCACAACCAGAAGGTGAGTTGGCAGTACTGTGCATCATCAGACGAACCAAACACTGTGCTGGAGCACATGAAACATGACCTGGATGGGGCTCAAAATACCTCTCTGGGTTGCTGAGGTTCATACAGGTCTCTCTCAGCAGGGACATGGGGTAATCAGCAGACTGGGTAATGTGCCTGTCAGGAATGAGGGAAGGAATCTCCTTGGTCATAATATAAAATGAGGGGCAAATGGGGTTGTTGTCTTAATATGTAAAATGTTGTTAGAGATATGAAAGGGAAGATCCTCTTTTTTATGTATATAACTTGTTAGGTAAGAGAGGACAGATTCAAGTTTCATCAAGCAAGGTTTAGGGTAGGCATTAGGAAAATATTTCTAACCTGGAACAGTTAAATGGGTTGCCTGAGGATCCTGTGACTCGCTATCGTTGGAGGTTGTAAAGATGAGGTTAAAGTAGAACGCTCCAAACCTTGTCAAACTTGCCCCAGGCTGCCATCTCCATTAATTCACCTTCCCTGTCTCCTGCCTCAGAACCACTGCTGTGCTCTTGCACCTGTGCCTCCCCTCGTCTCGTTCTGCAAGTCCAACACCAACTGGAAGCATTTTCCTCCAGCAGCTGCAGCAGTGTGCAGGTGTTCTGTCTGTTCAGAGGGACTGCATTAGGCAAAGCCTCAGCTTGCTGTGGTTCTGTGGGCCAGGAGACAGTCTTGAGGTGTCACAAAATCCCAGTTCCCCTTTGCTTGATTCTTACAGCCTTTAGACCCTCAAGAATCACTCAGCATTCAACTTAGAGTCACTGGGGCATTGGAGTGATGGGGGACAGCAGTGACAGCAGCACTTTTTTCTAACTATTTCAGTAAAGATACTGGTACCAACTAACCAACTGCCTGCCAGTTTTGCTGTGCTGCTTTTTCTTTTGCTTTTGTCCCCTCTCTTTTGTGGGTATTGACAAAATACTCCCCTCTAATGTGGATTCTTGCTGCTAAAATAACGTTTGTCTTGGAAACATCCTTTCATGGGCATAAATGACTAAGGTGGGCGGTAGAGCAGCTAATCATTTGTCATTTTAAAAAACTATTGAATCTTCTAGTTACTGCAATAAAAAAATTTGAAAAGGCCATAAATGATCAGTTTCAGTGGGAGGTTTGTAGTTGCTACAAAACTGACAGTCCAAAGCTTTTAAGCGGAGGAGGAATTCTCACCACATTGCTTTCCTGTCTCTTCATTAGAATTATTTTGTTTCTCACCTAAAAATACCCTCCCTTTTGCACTGTGTGGTGCTGAAGGTGTTGTAGAAAATAATTTTTTTTAAAGTCTCATGACATTATTTTTGCTATTTTGATTTATTTGATCCATTTCTGTGCTGAAGACAGATTTTAAACAGATATCTACCAGCTTATTCGTTGTACTTTTCTCCCTTCATGTGTACAGCCTAACACAGATCTGTTTTACCACATCAGACTTACCACTTCATGGCTATTCTAGGAAACCTCATCATGGTTTACTACCCGTCAATATGATGTATCAGTGGTGTGATTTCATCTGTGCAGTCTATGCTTATTTCTGAGGAAAATACATGATTTCTCAGCAATTTCTAAATGGGGGATACTTAGTTCAGGCACTGTTTATTTTTATTTACTACAATCTCTAAAAATATCCACATTGTAGTTCAGTTTTACACCTTTTGCAAATTATCCCCAAAACCTTTACAAATTTGTTCCACAAGCAGCCTGGGACCGCCTTCATTTTCATTCCATTAGATCCATATTGTTTTCTGGGGTTTTGGGTTGGGAGAGTGGGTTTGTTTTGCTTGGGTTTTGAAATGATATTAGGTACAGTGATTTGAATAGAATAGGAAAAAAATATTTTTCCGTGAGCAACCACAGGCTTGTAGAATACAATAATTTTTTTAGATTTGACTGCTGAAAATTTTCAGTGAATACTTCCACTAAGTTTCTATTCAGAAGTTTACCAGCAAATTTGTTTTCTACATAATATTTAATGCTTTTAAAAATTAGTCACTTGGTTTAGTTCATGGAAGTTCTTGGAGTTTTTCTTCATGCCTAACAGCATGTATAAATTTAGGCTAAGGTGACAACTGCATAGCAACAGAGAACTAAACTGTTCATGTTAGCTGTACCAGAAAACTACTGGGCCAGATTCTGACTGAGAGATAGGAAGGAAGACATAACCAGTGGCACCTGTACTTCAACTTATAAATCAAATTTTAAAGTACTTCCAACTGAGATTTGACAAAGAATAATCCTGTTGAGTTGCCAACTGCTTTCCCATGTGTTCACTCCCAGGCTCATTAGAGCAAGAACCATTTTTGTAGTTATGGGAAGTACTGTCATTTTTATTATCAGTAATTTTAGATATGAAATACAGTAATATTTTTATTTAGATAGTGTATGGTTATCATCAGCATCTACCTATCCTGGAAAAATGCTGTTAAACTCTGTAAATTGATTTGTAATCCTGGAAATCTACAGAAAAATAGTAAAAATTTCTTGATTATGTTTATTCTTGATGAGAGGAATTTCTGAACTTCTAGAAATTCTTTTTAATAAGTGGTGAAAAGCAATTATGTTCTTCCATGGATATGAATTTTGCAGTAAATGTCTAGATTCATCAAACAGGGAAAATATCTAACAACTATAGGAGTGTTATAATCTAGGTTTTGTTATGGCTGTGTACATTTAATTAATAATAGCAGTATAAACCTGTCAAAAATAGAAGAGACATAATTTTTCTTCGAAGTGAAAAAATACCAGTGTATTATGTAGGCTAGAAATAAAAATGAAATACAGAGGATGTAATTTTGAATAAGAGTCGACACAAGATACCGTGGGACTCAGTTTTGAGACAGGTGAATAGATAAAAATTATGTACAGCCATCAATTCTGTATAAATAAATCAGAACAACAAAACAGGGACTCATAGTTTACACATACTATGTGCTTGCTTTATATTTGTAAACATATGACACATGCATTAATGTTTTCAGTTCACAGTACATTTCAGAGTCATTAGTATTTGAAAAAATGTTTTACTAGTCAGAGTAAACTTCATTTATCTTATTATTTTCAACGACAAAGAGCTGGAAAGTAGTGGTTTCATTTTCAGTTGTGTGAATGGGGAGGATCTCAGGTGGGTTTTTTTCACTGTTTAGGTGTTTGCTTATTTGGCCTGGGGTCTTTTTTCCTTCATGTGCGCTTTTATCTGCTGTCCTAATTGTTTCAGGTAATGTGAACTGATGAGAGTTCAGTTCGTGGTTCTTGATTTCTTCCTGAGTTTCCAGGATTGCTGGTTAGAGTCTTGTTTCTATTGCTTCAAATGAGTAAAATTATAATTTTTTTAATATATTAAAAGATACTTTCAATAATAGAAAGGAAGTCAGAGGAGGCAGGAATAGCATCTGAACTGAATCCCAGTTCACATGAAACCCATACAAGAAAAAAAGTGTTACTGAGGTAGTGTAGGTGGAAATATTACCCCATCCCTGGGAGATAAATTGACATAAATATACTTTTCTGTTTCTCTACTTTTAATTTCCTGGTTGATGGGTTCAGTCATATCAGGATCTTTGTGAAAGCACATATGATTTTTATTTTTACACTGGTAAATGGGGAAAGATTTTGCTTTTTATTCTCTCACATAAGCTAAAAGAAATACTCAAGACAATATGTAAATGCATAAATTCAAGCACGCAGAATGGATTAAAGTAGCATCTCACAACTTCCTCTGCAATTACTGGTTACATTTCTCATGTAAATGATTCCAATATTCAAATTTTTTTGTTTTCCAGTGTAGTACTCACTTATTAAAGACCACTACCTGTGAGGAACAGCCTTCTTAGCTGTATATGTTCAGTGCAGAATCATGTTTAGGATTTCCAATAAATAGTTTTGGCTTGGTTCTGGTTTAAATTAACTATAAATGAATCTCTGACACTACAGATACCTTTGGTTAATATATAGATACAGATTTACTCATTGATGTAATAAACAATGGAATATGGAAAAATTAAGAACTTTTTTTTCCTTCTGAAAGAAATGTTAAAATAATGCAATTTACCTTCTGGCTAAACTGCATGTGAAGTAACCTCATATTGTAAAAATGTAGGAATGTGAAGTTCACAAAATAATGTGCCTATATTTTCTATGCTATTTTTGACTGCTGTTTAAAAATGCACAACAACTAATAAAATCTGTTCTGCTGAAATTTGTAAATCAAGCAAAATAAATTCACAGAAAACATAAATTAGACTGTTGTACGGCAGTACGAAAGTCCTACTCCTTTAAACTCAGTTTCAGAATTTAAATTCTTAGGTTTGTGGCGTATCTGATGTTTTTTCATTTATTTCTTTAATTTATTTTTAGGATAAGTTACATCCAAGGAATCTTATCCCAGAGCTTTGTAGACTGTTTTATGATTTAGGCTGGGTAACAGGAACTGGTGGAGGAATCAGCTTGAAACATGGGTAAGTAATGATGAAAGAGAAACAATGTGATGGTTAGAGAGGGGCTGGCTGTGTTTAGTAGTTGGTGAGGGCATTTCAGTTCCATGAAAGTCAGGAGTGAGCAAGAAAGTGGAGGGGGAAATGAACAATCTGTCAAATTTAACCATATAGAAGGGAGCTGACTAGTCTGGATTAATCACTGAAATCCCTTCAATGGAGAGAGACAACTAAAGAGAAGGACTTTTTTCTGTCCTTTTCCTATCTTTGTTTAAGGTAGATGAATTGTCTTCAAAGCACAATGCATTCCCTCTTTTTCATTTCGCTGACTATGGAATTTAGAGTGGGTTACACCAGGCACAAGGCTTTCAAATGCCTGTGGTTAATTGAGATCAGTCTCTCCCTAGACCTTTTGCAGGCAAGTAGTTTCCTTTAAGCAGGAGATTACTATTCTACTGAGGTAATAGCAACAATTTTTGGTGTGAATCTGCTGCTAAGAAGCACTGCTTTGTGTTTTAATTTGCTTGTCTCCCCAAATTCATAATTTCCAAGCTTTTGTGGAGACAGGGCTCCTCTCAGTGGCCACTAAAAAAAGTTCTCATTCTGCAAAATGCCTTACACAGAGCCTGCAATTCTGTCCCCAGTCACGGGGTTGTGATACTAACTTGAGAGTGTCTGACTTCTCATTTTCTGATATACACTTGCATGCATGCATGCACAGCCATTGCTATTCAAATATATTTATATATGGGAAGAAAAGATTCTAAATGCAAATATTTGTACCGTTTGGACTTTGTGCAGGTCATTTCACCTCCCTGCTTGATTTTTGCCAGCAAAGCAAGAGCAGTAATAATAATGTGAGCAATGATAAGAGGGTTATTTTTTGTTTTCAAAACTATCTATGGAAAGATCTTTCTAGCACTAATTTGTCATCAGTAGCTAAATGTAGCCTATTTTCTTTGTAATTTCAGTGCATCTCATGTTGGTTGTGGCAAGACAAATGGCATTATCAGAGAATTCACTAACATAGTAGTATAGTTTTCCTCAGCAGTTCTGTTACTTGGTTGCTCAGACTACACCTATATAAATACATGTTTTAGTTGATATCAATATTGTACATGGTCTAGGAATAGTTATGTGTGTGTGCTATACTGCTTTATATCTACAGTAGCAGTAGCTTTGTTTCAAAATGAGTAGCTATAAGGCAGAGATCAGACTACCTTAGAATTGTTACATAGGAAATAGTGAACAATTACAATTTGATTCAAATACAACAACTGATTTTACCAGCTAATCCTAATCAGCATCACTCATGTTCATATCAACTATTCAGAAAAAAAAATACCACTTTGGACGTGGGTTAACATACTAAAAAATGGATCTAAAATTCATTGTCAGATATCTTGTATTTTGAAGGATGTGTTTCATCGTTAGAGTTTCCCTTTCTGGTTAAAAAGAAAAAAGTCTGTTTTTTAAAAAAAACCTGCATGTCTTTCATTGGTAACTGAATCACCACTTGATTTCCCCATATGTTGCTCTCTCAGTCATCTTGCTCATGCAAAGGACTAAATTAATGCAATGTTGGCAGTGTTAATTCATGAATGTTAAAAATTACAAATATGATAAAGCTACATTTTTATGTACTTCACAGATATTTTACCCCTATGGATATACATCATCTTAAGAGTTTTTATTTTTGGAAGAGTTAAAATCACAGAATTGTTTAAGTTGATACAGACCATTAAGATCCTCGAGTCCACATAAACCTGCCACTGCCAAGTTCACCACTAAAACACATCCCTAATCACCATGCCTAAAGTGTTTTGAACACTTCCAGAGATGGTGAGCCAACTGCTCCCCTGGGCAGCCTGTTCCAATGCTTGATAACCCTTTCAGTGAAGAAACTTTTCCTAATATGAAATCTAAACCTCCCCTGGTGCTACTTGAGGCCATTTCCAATTCTCCTGTTACTTGTTACCTGGGAGAAGAGTCTGACCCCCACCTGGCTACAACCTCCTTTCAGGTAGTTGTAGAGAGTGATGAGGTCTCCCCTGAGCCTCCTCTTCTCCAGTCTAAACAACTGCAGCTCCCTCAGCCTCTCCTCATAAGACTTGTGATCCAGACCCTTCACCAGCTCCATTGCTCTTGTCCAGGAATACAAACTTCTCATTGTCTGTAGGAAATGTATCTGTAACTTGACTAATTATTCACTAGATGTCTCTATGCTCCTGAATTTACACTGTGACTATTGAAGCCAAATAGTGATTACAATTGAGAGAGATAATCTAGTTGGGGGTTTTTTGCTAATAAGGAGAATAATTCAGGCACCATCTTAAAATAATTTTAATTTAAATCAATTTTTGTAGTTTTCGTTCATGTAGACCTTGCAAGAAGTGATGCACTTCTACTTGAATTTCATTTAATTTCATTGTATCAGTGTTATCTTTATCAATACAAATAGATATATAGCTGCACAAAAAACCTAAACTGCACAGTTAAAAAGTAAAGTATTTATACTGAAGAATGCTACAGATAATTATTACTGTTTATAGGTAGTCTGTGGATTTTTTAGTAGTAGTTTTGTGACTTGCTTTGTCACGGATCAGTATCTGCTTGCAATTTCTCATTTAATTTTTATTCTGAATTCTGGGAATTAGAATTTGAATTATTGAAGGGAGAGGCTTTGGGTAGGAAAAACAAGGTTGCACTTCCTACTTCCTCTTACAAAAGTGAAAGTAGGATTTTGTACCCCTGCAAGTTAAAGATTTTATAGACCCTTCTACAATTTGACTCTATTTTGATGACCATCTACATGTCAATGTATAGAAGGAGCAAGAAAGTTCTTAGGGGCTAGATTTGCTATTTCCTTTTCAAGGTTTAAGGGCTCTAATACCTGTGCAGTTGGAAAGTCATTGTTCAGCTGTGTTTACTGATTTTCCCCGTCTGCAACTTTTCACAGGAATGAAATCTACATCGCTCCTTCAGGAGTCCAAAAGGAAAGAATACAGGTACGTTAGGCTGTACTTTTACCTCAAAGCTCATCCTGAGATACAGGAAAGTGCCTTTGGTTAGAGTTTCACTTTTTCTTATGTAAAGTTGGAAACTTGTTGCACTGTTGACTACCTTATTGAAACAACTGATGATGTCTCCCAGGACTCCACTACCATAGCAAGCCAGTATGTGTTTCAGTGGCCAGTGTATATTAGTCTTGAAGATCTCTTTGCTTTAAATAAGCACAAAACTGTGTGGGATTTGAACTCAAGTGCAGCTTTATTTTTTGTCAAGCTTGAGTATCTTTATAGCTGTCTGGCCACAGTTTCAAGTTACTCTGGCACATACATAAAGAAGCATTAACACCTCATTACTGTTTATTTTCATTTGAGTGATTACAAATATTTTTCTTGATAGTCTCAGTAAATATTTGGGCTCTCCACATGAAAAGGTGACCTTGTCTGTCTCTTTTACAAAAAAAAACCCAAAATGTAAGTGAAGGGGAGAATGGTAAATGGTAACTATTTGATGACAGCAGGAACTCCCCCAGAATAGCATAATATGTGGGAAAGGATTTATCATTTCATAGATCTGAGGATAAATACTATGAGGAGTAAAAGGAATCCCTTCACTGATAGAAACATGGGGTTTAGCAGCATTGTTTGGGGATGTGAACAAGTAAGGCAGGCAGAGGTACATAAGATAACCATGATGGTCTCTTCTGTGCTATCAGTAGCAGTGGCTTGAGTGCAGTGAGTGAGGAAATCTCTTGCAACTGTATTTTCTGCTGACTGTTAAAATAACATTAAAAAAGAAAGTTTTATTACTGCCCTGGACAATTCTTTGTACTATTAGGAGTATCTAATTGATGCAAAGGTACCATTCATGTAAAGCTACTAAAAGCAAGGTTTAAAAGAAGTAGTTCTACAAGTCGAATAGATTATTTGTAAGTTTAATTTGTGTCCTTTGTTGATTCTTTAAGTGGGGAAGGAAAAGTACATCTACATTTCTTTTTTTTTTTTAAATCGGTTACTACTTTTCCTTTTGATTTATTTTGTGTTATTTAGGTACAGGCTGTCTCCTTTCTGAGAAAATTGTAGTTTTACAAATACCTGCTTGGCATCCCTCTTAATAAAGAGTACCTAAAATTAATTCCCATTACACAATGTCATTAAGTACTACTAGAAACTGGAATAAATGTGGTACATTCCAACACTTTTATAAAGTTAAAATCACATTCTATATTAAATATACGGTGCATATGTATTTGTTTCCCTAGAAGGAAAACAAAGCTATTCAAGTCATCACAGGTCAAAATAGTTTCTTCATTCTTACAGCCAGAAGATATGTTTGTTTGTGACATGAATGAGCAGGACATCAGTGGTCCTCCACTGCACAAGAAGCTAAAGAAAAGCCAGTGCACACCTCTCTTTATGAACGCCTACACTATGAGAGGTATGTAGCAAATGTTTTCAGTTCATCCATGTCTGAAACACTGTAAATGTACATCCACAAAATTGATATTCAGTACCATATTTTTATACATAGAAGTTACAATGGAATAAACATGATACTGTAAAATAAATTGATTTGCATAGATATATATATACAATGAAAGAGAATCCATAGTAACATCCTGTCAGTGTCATTTACAATTTACAGTTTTATCTTCTTGTGTAGCTATTCCTCTGATCATCATCACTAATTTTTAGTGCAGTATATTGGTAGGTTGTGGGGGGATTTACAGCAGTTTTAAACCAGTAGTTTTGCCTGTTCAGCAACTATGGTTTAGATCCCGTTGCATCCATTGGGTGAGATTAACAATTATGAATTATGAATAGGTGAAAAAGGTATGAAACTTTTCTCTTGCAGGTGGACAGTAATAGTGAGCTTTTGATGTTGTGTAAGATTTACATCTGTTGTTTTAGAAAGGATTTAGGAAGTCTCTTCTAGTCTTCCTGCACAAGAAGCTTACATGTGTACCTGAGGAATGGCAACACTGCAACTTTATAAGTAGATTATAATTATTGTCTGCCCATTTTTTGCATCATGACACAGTAAGGTAATGACAAATGTTTTTTCAGAGAGTCAGTAGATAATTGAAGAAGGCATAAAAACTAAGTAAAAGTCTCTAAACTTTCGTTTCACAAATAAGTTTGGGAATTCTTTAAAATCTCAGACCTCTGATAAAATAAATAGTGTGTTTCAGTCATTGCAGTATGTAAAGAAATGTACAAGTAGTGTTTCTCCTTGAATTTGTACAAGTAGTTTGTCTCCTGGAATTTGTCACTAACTAAAAGTTAACACTAGTGTCCTAAGACAATCCATAATTATCCTTTATAGGTAAGTAATGATCTCATATCTTCATTTAGGTTGCTGTATATTTTTTCCTCTAATGCAGTAGATTACCATTTGCTTAGAGACCCAATCAAAGGAAATATGTGAACAAAATTTTTCTAATAGATGCATTTTTAAATTAATTCTAAATTTTTTTTTCTTGTTTTTGTGTTCTTAGGGGCAGGTGCAGTGATCCATACTCATTCCAAGGCTGCTGTTATGGCTACCCTTCTTTACCCAGGGACTGAGTTCCGTATTACCCATCAGGAGATGATAAAAGGAATCCAGAAGTGTACTTCAGGAGGCTATTACAGGTACTTCTCTGTATTTTAAGAAAAGAGGCATGATATTTGATCATTTGTTTTCAACAATACAAATAGATGATGAGTAATTCAAGTTATGTGCATTAAAGTGTGTAATATAAAATGTTAGGAATAAGAAGTAAAAAGACCTCTGGAATAAATGAGTCATTGGCTTTCTGTAAGGTCTCAAGCCTGTGGAAGAGATCTGAGATAAAATCTTGTAATGTCAAGGCTACTGTGGTCTGTTGAGCTACAGCAACAAACCAAATAAAGAGCCACATCCTGAGATGTTGACACATCTATACAGTGTTAAGCTGAAACTGGAGCCAACCAACATTAGGTTGCATTGATAGCATGTGAAATCTACATTTGGGTGGACTTCACATATCACTGCCTGTGCTAGTTTAGGGCATGTTAAGAGAGTAGAAGATTTCAGATTTTACTTGACAGAGTTTGAAAGAGAATTCAGAATAAACAGCTCATTAAAGATAATGTTATTACTTTTCAAGGATGAGCTCTGAGGTAAGTGCTGAGTTATTCCAAATTATGTGTGATGGCTTGTTTTGAGGTCTCCACCCACAGAGTGTTGAATTGGGATCTGCAAACAACATTTATATAACATGTGACAAGTAGATGAGAAATTGAAATGTTAAATTCTTTCCACTTTTTGATGTTAATTTTTGTATCTAACTATTGCCCTTTGGCAAGGGAGAAAGCTGTATGTGATTTTATGCCCAAGCATATTTTGTTCCATTTTGGTTAACTTGCCAACCTTTACCTTCTTGTTAGCATTAGCATGTGCATTTTTAATGTGGCAAAATACAATCCCTTGTATTGAATTTTCTAACAACACTAGTTTTAAAAACATCTACATCAATTTTCTATTTTGGATATGCATTTTGAACTCTCAAATATTGCTAAATATTAGTCAGGAGACATCATATTTTAGTCAGGAGACATAATATTTATCAGGTTCCATATCTCCAAGTTGTCTGGTATCACCAGAAAAACTGAAGAAATCAAAGCTTCAGATTATATGGTTCATAACCACATATTTATCCATACTAGAGCAATTCCACTGTCTTGCCTCACACAAGGGTCCCCATTGAATTCCAAAGAAATTTGATAGTAGAAAATGGAACCTTTCAAGAAAGGGATTGAAGGTATGTTGTTTCTAATTGGAAGCTATCCACGAAAACGCTACAGATATGATAATCAGAAGTATTTTTTTTGCCTAAATACGACTCCAGTGATGCCAGAGTAATTTTCCCTTCAACTTCTGTAGAAGGAGAATTAGATCAGTAGTAAAAAGCTTTGAAAATCCAGACTATGACAAAGTATCTTAAATTAAGTTTTGACTAAATGTAGGCTGCTTATATTTCCATAAAACTAAAGTATTTAGCTCATTCAGAGTCTTCTTGACATTTTATAGATACTAGTTTTTGATAAAAAGCTTATGGTTATCATTAGGGATCAGTTATATTATTTATACCCACATCCAAGCTCACGTAGAAAGCAGAACCTAGGAAGCCAATCCATTAGCTCATTTGGCCTCAAATCTAGTTTTGGTGATCAGTATATGGTGAGTCAAACTGCAAATGCCACTTAATTTTTTTCATTCACTATTTTTATAGCTTCCTTGAGAAAGTATCAGCATTGAAAACTGTAAGGGATAAGACTTTAATTTTCTGAATATTTGATTTGAAGTACAAGCTGTTGCTTTGGGTTTTTTTACCATTGCTTTCTTTCTGTGTTTTATAAAAGTAAGTACTACTAGCATCCACTCATGAAATATCTAAGTGATCTCAATGATAAACCTGAACCTGAAGTGGGGACTTATTAAAACTATTTAAACAAGTTTCTGCCAGTGTTAATTAAGGTTCAGACAATGCCAAATATCCCAGTCCTCCTTCAGAAGAAACTCTTAGGCAAGTTCCACTGAGTAACATGCATAATCTTGTCTTTGGAACTGGGGTTCTGAGGCTCTCTTAAGATCACATGTAGCCCACCAATGACTCCATCACAGAGAATTTATTTTTCATGTGTTGACTCTACTTTCTATTTATATGCCTTAGAAGGACAATCTTCCAGGGGCTTTTTGGACTACCTGAATTAATTTTTTTCTGCTCTCCAGCAAACAGCTTCATTTCCTTCTTCATGATATGATTCTTTTAAATAATTTAATCTGAGGTAAAGCTTGTAGATGATGCCAATACAGGATGGAGAGTTTGAAAAAGTTGTAAAGAGACCCAACTACAAAGTGATATGTGAATAAACAGCTACACCTAATAGATTAAAGTGTTATTTTCTTTTTGTGCCTCAAGTGTAGCTCAGGTATTGCCAGCATAGTATGTGTTTGGGAGTGAGAGATGTTCCTGAGAATTCTTATGTTACAGCATGACTCAGAAGAGAAGATATCATTAGTGCTGAAAATTTATTAACATCTTTACACAGTAAAGGGAGAATCTCTTTCTTAGGGAAAACTTCTTAGATCCAAGCACAAGGTTTTTTTAAATACATGAACATTCATTTTTCTTTCAGATATGATGATACACTAGTGGTTCCCATTATTGAAAATACACCAGAAGAGAAGGATCTCAAGGAAAGAATGGCACGTGCAATGGAAAAATACCCAGACTCCTGTGCTGTATTGGTCAGACGTCATGGTGTTTACGTGTGGGGAGGAACATGGGAAAAAGCCAAAACGATGTGAGTACAATTTAGCAACATGCTGTCTTTTGCTACTATACCTCAAAACCTTAGTGAACTTAATGTCATGTGTATTTTCAACCCATTGACAATGATTTAGAACATTGAGGCCTCACTGCATGTATGGGGAGCTTTTGGGAGTGGGTTCATCCATAATTCCAATGCTTGCTTTTTCTTTCATATCAGTGTTGGCTAATAAGGTTGCCAACATTTTCCTTTCGTATGGACAAGTCCTTCCTCATATGAAACCTGCAGACAATCCCTGCTTTTCTATGACACCTGCCAATACTGTTTGTGTAGTCTTCCCTAGTACAAGTTTTGGAATTTACTTCATCTGCTGATAGAAATGCAACAAAAATGCTGGGCGCTTTCCATACCACAGTGTTGGAAGTAACAGTAATAGAGCTGTCCATTCAAACTATTGCATTGGTGATATAAAGCTTAAGGAAGGAAAATACTAGTTTTCATAAAACATGGTGAGACTTGAGCCTTACTAACATTTCACTTTTTTTCCTTATTGATATTAGGTGTGAGTGTTATGATTACTTGTTTGATATCGCAGTGCAGATGAAGCAGCATGGGCTGGATCCTTCAAAACATCCAGCCGGAGAAAATGGGATCTTGTAAATGTCAACAACATTTATATTCAGGTGTGAATTTATCTGTAAAGATGATCTGTTTGGAGGGAGGGACTACAGATGACACCATCACTTCAGTTTTCTTTCCCACTCGGGAAACTTTAGTATTGCTCATCTTCCCCCAGTCTGCTTTGTTACCACTGCAATCATATCTATGCCTGAAATAATGCTCCTTTTCCATACAATGCAACAAAAAAAATATATGTATTAATAGTCAAGTATGTTCTGTCCATATTTAGCACCTATTTACAGCATGGAGTGCAACTGCTTTTTAAAACAAAACAGTATCAAGCGTTACCAGTAAAAGCAGTGGACTAAGAATACCCCAGCGTAGTAAAATAATCTATACAGAGACACCTGAACACCCACAGTTGTTCTTCAGCTTGCAGCATCAGGTTTGATATCAGTCCATCCCTGGTGTTACTTGTATGGTGGATTGGTTGGAGGTTTTTGTGGATTTGATTTTTTCCTTCAGCAGACTTGGCTGGTTGCAGTTAGAGTTTCACTGGTTACTGTCACCTGTTTACCTCGTGCAGTGAATTACCTTGACTTTCTGTTTTCTAGTGTAGCAATGATCGGTTTTGAAAGTTTTCATAAGAAATTGTTCAAAGTAAAAGCACATAGATAACACAGATAACATGAAGGATCGCTGAAACAGTTCTCACAAAAGCAATGTACAGCGTGGTATGGCAAAACACAGTGGTAGCATAACACTTCAGTTTGAGACACCTCTTCCTGAAAACGTAAGCAAGTTAAAAGATTCCAGTACAGAGATTATAAAAGGACTTCTTGGCCAAAGTGGTGGTGTAATTAAACAGGATAGGCTAACTTGTTGCAGAGTTGTCCTATCAGATAATTCACTGCACCCACCACGTTTTCATCAGAAGAAATGACGCATGGTTGCTCAGGCTGCATGAGCCCAGAACAGACAGGGACTTGGATCATTAACCTTTATGCCCACACTGGAGGACGAAGCAGCTGGACAGGAGGCTTCCTGTCAGTGAGTCTCTGTGTTAGCAGACATTTGGAGTGCTGCCACTGCATACAGTGATAAAGACATGCTGGCTGCCACACCTGCACAGAACTACCTCATGGCCCATGAGAACCATTCTAAAATTACACCTCAACCCCTACAATTGAATAGGTTGGGCTAACGTAGTGGCATTAATGTTCCTTTGCCTATTTATTATGACTGAATACCTAGTTTTAGAATATTTTCACTTTTACTTTGTTTCTCCTGTACAGGTTTCTTACATGGTGATGTGAGTTCCAGATTTCAGCTCATGCTGTTGAAGCCAGAAGGGGGTGCTGTTATACTCAGGGGATTGACAGATGCCAGCAGGCAGTTTTGACTGTTCAACGCATCCAAGAAGAAAAGGAGACTTCAAAACAACTGAATTGCTATTTATGAATCCTGTCAAGTGCTACAGTAGGAGGACTGAAAATTGAGTTGCATAAAAAAGATTTTGAACAACTATGGAGAACTAACATGACATTTTGTTTGTGTACCTTAAAAATGGATATTTCAACAGTCTGCATTGGCTGATCCTGCTGTAAATCTACATCATTTAAGTTGTTATAACTCTCCATTTCCAAAAGTTATAGTAGCTTTTATTCTTCAGGAAAAAAGTGAGGACAACCCCTTAATTAGAAGTTAATAAAGTTTAAAGCATTGTTTGAACTGTGATTCCTTCATGCCATGTTCATAGGTGGGGTTTTTTTTAATTAAACCTGTAGCATATGTATTTTTAAATTCTCCTAATTGTCATTATAATGAGTAGGAAACACATAATTTTATGGTGTGTATTTTGTAGTTATTACTGAAAGACTGCTCTGGGTCTTGTCTGGTTTTTACATCTTTACATTCCTTCACTTTGAGTAAGATTTTGTTTATTGCAACTTTAAGACAGCTTTTTATGACCTCTGTTTAGCCCCCCTAAGGTAGATTTAATCAAAGTGCTCATTAAAACATTGTATTGCATATTTATGACACAGTGTCTTTCAAGATCTTCTGCAGTGGCTCCCCAGTGGCCTTGAGTGTAAGCCTTGAGTGACCTTCTCTGATTGAGCGTTGAGACTTTATTCCCAAGGGCGAATTGAGACACTGACTGACCGTGTTCCCTGCTAGGGGCCTTGCATTCCTGCCACTTTCCCCTACATCATCTCTGGCACTTCTTTGAGCTTCCATGAGGTTAATTAAATCTTCAACCTAAAAGGAAACTACTGTGGGAGTGGGGGATAGAAAATTACTAAATTGTTTCCTAATAAGGCACTGGTAAAATGTTGAATCAAGTCAAAGGTGGGTTCAAAGAGATCCAGAGCCAGGGCAAAAGATGAGATGGCTGATACTGGAGAGGGCAGACAACACTTTCCCCTTTTCATGGAGATGACAGTTAAGTTCAATGTCTTGGAAATGTTGGACATGTTTGTCTTTCCCTACTATACATAGTGCTGTACCTGCAGTGTGCAATCTTTGAGCCTTATGGGGGGGGGGTGACCTTGGTTATTGTGAAATAGTGGTTATCACTACCTTATTGCAGATTGTATACTTATCAATACATTTTTTCAGTATTAGGCACTTGTTTGTCAGTGGTAAATATTTGAACTGCCTGATTTCTGCAAAAAGTAAATTCCTGTGGTATTCTGATGATGCTTTCAGAATAGTATAATATATAATTGTATAATTCCATAACACTAATGTTCTGTAAGTATAAAGAACGTATAAAGCAGTATATTTACACTTAGTATTGGTTTGTTTTGCTTGTATAATGACAAACTATAAAAGAACATTCATGAGGAAAGGTTTTTTTGCCAAATATATTCCTCTAGGGTCATGTTAATTACAAATATTCACTTTCTCATCCAGCTCCAATTTGCCACTCTGTAGCCTTTCTAAAATTTGTGTAAAACATCCAATTTCTATAGTAGTCAAGAAGTTTTGTCATATAGGATTCCAAGATGTTTGGAGTCCCATTCAGTGATATAGAACTAAGCTAAATGCACTCTTCTCATGTGAAGTCTCATCAAAGAAATTAGTGCCTTTACAGCTTTGGTGGCTCATAAACTTGTGAAATGATTACGGTTTCCTGGAGTGTTCAGAAAGCTCCTCCGGTTCAGATCCAATTATGTAGAACAAAAATAGGAAAATCGATCATGTGATTTAAAACTTCTAAGCTCACATAATTTTTAAGTGTATATCATTTTCTGATGTGAACTGTGGGCTAATAAGCCAGCTAGATATTTTTATACGTTTGCAGGAAAAGCTTGATCTCCATTGAGCCGATTATCTAGGTTTAGTATCACCAGATAGGCTTATGTCAAAATGACATAATTCCCATTTCAAGTGGCTCATCCAAAAAGCTAAGTTCCAACATTTCTCAATAAAAGTAACTTCCTACCAAACATCCTGTTTGCTTTCCAAGAAGGAAATAAAACTGCAGAATACAGCATCTTGAAACATTAAGAGATAGAACTCGTAACTTAGAGTAAGCAGTTATGATGCCAATATATGTTCTGTAGTGAAAGCTGTAGTGGCTGAACAGCTGGCATCCTATTTGCTTTATCTCTGAAATTGTAATTTAAAAATTAACATTAAAAAAGCTCACTGTCTAATGGAACAATACAAATACATTAGTAGCCTTCTTCTAGGTTGTTTTTTGCTATGCTTTTTGGGCAAATAGGTTTGCAACAATTTCTTACTGTTTTACAGGAGATGGCAAATTGGCAAAAAAATCCCTGGAGCACGTTAAATGGATTACTATTTTATCAAGCAGCAGAAGAAAATACCCAGTTTGATATTAATCCTTCCTAATTTCAAAATTGTTAAAAAAGCTCTGAGCAGATACAAGTTTAGGCATTCCTATGGAAGAGAGTTATCTCTAGAGATTTGTAAGCAATAAGGAAATTAGGAGAATGCTTCATTTTTCAAGTCGCTTTGGACTTTCATTTAGGTTTTGTTCTAAGGAGAGGTGAACCCGTGCAGGCTTTGTTTTTGTTTTCTTTGCCTACTTGTTAAGTGAAATTTAAGTTGTGCCTTACAGACCCAGAGCCCTCTGAGCTGAGAGACTTTTGTAGCAGAGTGTGTGGAGGTGCCTGTGACTGCGCTTTGCTACCAGCTCTTTAAAGCTTTCATAGAAGTCGGTGGATCTGTATATTTGGCTTAATTTCAAGCCAGCTTCATGTTAAAAGCTATTACTCCAGAAGAATACTACCCAACATGATTTTTAAAAGAGCAAATTTCTAAGTCCCTGAATCTGGAAAAGAGCTGTCAGGCATTTATCCTGGTCTGCCCAAGGTTTTACTATGTAAATAAGATGATAAATCTCACTATTTTTTGGTTGACATCATTAGCACAGGGTCATGTTTCTGCTAAATTTGTGTGCTAGGGGTTCAGCATACTGAGTGCACCATTGCAAAATTATTTTGGAGGTGAAACCTCGAGTGTAACCACAACCATTGTCTGTTTCTTAGGATTTTAATCTATTGAAATCAAAAGCATTTCCAAATATTAAATTTTTAATCTTTTCTATGGTCTCAAGACTTAATCTAGCATCTACTAGATTTTGCTAGAACAGTCAGAAGAAAACTAGTGACTGGCTAGTGCTCAGTACAGAAAATGGACTGAGCAGGTTTGTCTAGGTGGGATCTAATGGGGAATCGTGGAAATTCACGTAGTCCGAATAGCATTTACAAACATTCTCTCTATATATACTTACATATGTGTGTTGTTTTTTTTTACTTTTAAGATACTGTGCTATTGTACTAGCAAGTTTCTCTCATCTATGACAGATAAAATTACAGGTTTAATCTTCAGAAACCAGATCAACAAGAATTTTTTAAAATAGTTAAACATAAATTCTTGCTCTTTAATGAGCCTCACATTAGCTCCGATTTCTCTGATGGTAATTTCTGGTAATTACAAACAGAATACACTGGATATAGAAGAAAGAATAGGTCTTACGTTTAAAACAAAGAGCTGGAGTCTAGATTTTGTGGCTGATCCAAGTGTTACCTTAAGGTCATGCCTTGAACAGTTCACTTTGATGGGAATTTCAAAAGAGCTTGAATGAATCAGATACTACCCTAAATCCCACTGGAAAGTTAGGTGCTTAGTATCATTAGGCTCCCCAAGGATTTAGCTGTCTTTGTTTCAATCAAGGAAAAAAAAAAAGGTCAGTGGGGATCACCCTGAGTACATATCACTAGCGTATACCAGTTTGTCCTCAAATGCTTAACTGCTATTTCTTTCCATAGTAGAACCCTGTAGTTTTAAGAAAAAAGGTTACATAAACTAATTTCACCTAGAAGAAATTTAAAAAAGCAAGAAAGCAGGAACTAAGCTCTCCTGCTTACTCAGATACGTATTAATATTACCACAAGTAACACAGCACAATTTTTATTACTTCAGTTCCTCACCTCTCAAAGGATACCAGCTAGCTGTCTTTCCAGATGAAACATCTCTTTTAAGATGTCATTTTTAAATTCCTGTTCTCCAGACAAAGCAGGTTACCCTCACAGTCCCCATTTCAGAGCAGTTCCTGAAAACATCACTGCAATATGTCAGTAGATTACCCGGGCTCTGCAGGTTGCTCTGCATGTAACACTAATGATTACATTTCTTTTGTCTTTATGCTTCGTCTCATTTCCATGTTTTATTCAGTTTCAATCCTGCTTTTCTATAAGATTGTCCCCCCTCCCCTGATTTCCTTACAGTCTTTGAAACCAGATGTGAACTTAGTACCATTTGCATTCTGATTGAACTTTCAAACCCAAGAATATTTTTGTGTTAGGAAACATCTCTTTCCTGATTCATCTGCTATATCCCTGACATATCCAGGCATGTCCTGTTATTGTATGTTTGCAAAATTTTGGTACTTAAAACAGTTAATGTGCCTTTTGTATCTCAGACACACTAGGATTTTGCAAGCGTCTGTTGACTGCAAGAGCATATGAGCAAGTATGAGACTGATTTCCTGTTAAGGAGTCACTACATTAAAAGGATATTTGCATAATCATAGACTAAGATAATGTAGGGAAAACCCCTGAGATCATTCTGATGCCAGGATTAAGCCAAGCCCAACATGTAATTTATTTGAATATATGAAAGCTGCTTCTTATCGTTCACTTCTATCTCAAGTCTCTAAGCACTTTAGTTGGCAGCAGCAGGCTCTAACTCCTCCTGGGTAATTCATTATCCTCAACAACTGTTAAAAGGGTTATTTTAAGTTTAACTTAACAGTCCCTGCAACTTAATTAATACAATAAAAAAATTATTCCTTTTATGATTTTTGTCATGTGTTCAAAATCAAGCTACCGCATCTTCTTGGGTCATCATTTTATTTGATGCCCTCGCCTTCAGGTTATGATAACTTCGGAAATACTGCATGCACCACAAAAACAAGGGTTCAGGACTACACCTACAGAAAACATAGCAAGTGGGGTTTTTAACTTGTATATAAATGAAGAACTGTCCACATAGGAGTTTGGCAGAAGGACCTCAAGAGAAAGTATATTAGCAATTAAAAATCAAGGCACACAACAGTGCTGTTTCTGAACATCTTAATACTTAGGGCTGGAGGTCTCTGACTTCTGTTTTAAATTCAGTTGCATGCTTTAAGTTTTTATTTGGAGAATTTGTCACACTTGTCACCTGGTACTTCCTTCAGTTAACATGCTTAGTGGCTTATGTCTAGGGGGCTGTAGTGGTGTCTGAAAGGTTTGGATTTTTTTCACTCATCTTGGATGAGTAAGTTATTTGAACCCAAAAGTCCAGTTGCCAGGAAAAAAGAAAGCAAAAAATCCCGGGGCTGCTGTCATGCTTGCTTGCCACAGTTTAAACAAATGGGGATACAAACAGATGTGGAGGTGTAGCAAGAGGGCAGCTGCTGTTTCTGAAAAGTAATTGAAGGAGGAGAACCCATTGAATAGCATTTCAGTGACAGCTCAGTCTATCAAGCCTCAAGCCATAGCACAAGAGGGGAGTAACATTTTAAGTGAGTGAAGAGCAAACATGATTCTTTAATTGTAGGAAAGGCAAGAAGAGAGAATACAATTAGGGCCTCAGACACCTAAATAAGAAAGCATCTAGTAGCAGTGGTGGCAACATTAATAGATAAGCACAGTTAAGCAAATAGGATGATGATCTCCATCTATTGCAGTTTAAGCACTAACACAACACTTCCACTGTCTTAGAAAATTGTACCGTATTTCACCATACTTTAACTATGATTAAAACAGCACAGTTCTAGTAGCCTGAATAGTTAGTTCAATATTATTAATAAAATATACATGGACAAACATTGTCCTGTTTGAAAATTCTAGTCATCAGTAAAGTCCAGATATTTTAAGTAGATTCCTACTAGATTTTGGGAATGCTAAAAGCCAAACTATCCCATACTGAAAACTAGGAACTAATTCTATTCAGACCAGAAGAGAACAATGTCTGATCAAGAAGACAATAGTGTAACCCGAGTATAACCCTTAGTGTAACCCAAAACTCATATTGCACAAAATTAATTACCAAATAAAATGAATGACAATACATTGCAACCTCTTCCCATAGGGAGACAACGGACTGAAGACAGTCATCTCACCTATATTTAATTTCTCTCCCTACTATATAGTCTATGTTTAACTCTAACTTGATAAAGATTCCCAAGCTGCAACACTGAGACCAAAATTGTGGCATTATGCCATATAACAGCATTATGCAAGTCATGAGCTCTCCCTAATCATGTTTCTGTGTATGTGGAAATCTATGCAGAAATCTATATGAAGAAATTTATCAGAAGGCTTAATCTCTGGGGGAAAAAAAAATCCCGAAACTACTTTGTTTAATTCCTTTATTATTAATGATAGGCCATTCACAGCTTAACTTCCAGAAGTCCTCCGAGGCTCTGTAATGTTCCAATCTGCCTTACCTGATTTTTTTCCCTCATACCATATTCAGAATTGACCCTTACAATGCAGGGGATAGTTTTACAAAGATTTATTCATGGAAGAAGTGTCCACACATGAGAACTGCTTCAGGATGAAAAGAAGGAATACAGAATATTCATATGTGATAAAAAACTTCCATTGTGAACACAAGGAATGAGCACGGGATTCCTGAACAGGGTAATACAGTGCAAATGAATAGGAAGGGACATGCTAAAAAGCCATGAATAATAAGTGTTAAAAACCCAAAATCAAAGTAATACAGCCAGGATCACTAAAATGCTGCTAGCCAGGAGAGGTTAAAATCAGCATAGTTTCATGGGTTGCATTTTTACACCTTGTCAGCTATGCCCTAAAATTGTGCTTTTTAATGCTACTAATTAATTAGATGAACTAATTCCATCTATAGAAAAATTCTCATTATTTTCTGTGCTTTTTAGTCTTAGTTTTACAAGATTAAAATGTCAAAAAGGCTAAGATGGGTCCATAGATAATTTCACCAGGACAAATAATGTAAGTAACTGAATCCTTCCTTGCAGAATTCTTGTGGGATACGTCTTTGGTCAGTTGGGGTCAGCTGTCCTGACTGTGTCCCCTCCTAACTTCTTGTATACCCCAAACTCATCACTGATGGGGTAGGAGGAGGTGGCCTCCATTTTATCTAAGCACTGCTGAGCAATAACAAAAAACATCCCTGTATCAACACT